TAAGGGGACGTTACACACACAATTTTCCAGCACGTATACATGACCACGCAAAATGGTAATAACTTGTGTTTAAAGTGGTTTTAGAGAAAAAAAACACCTATTATAAAATCGAAAGAGGACAATATTTTGGAGACAATGACATAGCCATTTTGTAAAATAATGTTTTTTAAAAAAGTTATTACACGTTAAAAATGTGAAAAATGTTATTTTTTAAACGTTGAAGTGTTAGCTCAATAGTAAATGTATTTGAAAATGGATATGTCATTGTCTCCGAAATATTGTCCTCTTTCGATTTTATATAGGTGTTTTTTCTCTAAAATCACTTTAAACACAAGTTATTACTATTTTCCGTAGACGTGTCTTACGTTCGAATTTAGGTACCTACCTACCGTCATGTGCTGCTTCGATGGCTATAACGGCAGTGTTCAACACAATATAGTATACGAGGATAATGCTTATAACCCCACCTCGCATCCTCGCGCAATTATTGCAGTGACAAACTCGGTTTTCTTACGAAAAAGGTGCGGCCGAATCTTTACCGAATTCGCGTACGAATTCGTTCAGTAGCATTCGCATGTGTAACGTGCTGGTAACTTGGTACCTACCTATTATTGTAGTAATAATAGTAGACAAGTGGCTACCAGTACGTAAACGTTGCAGGTCGCAGACACTTCTTCAGATAATATAGTCGTGGTTGAATAGTGAATAATATAATAGTTGTTGTATAATTGTGAATTTTATTATAACACTTCGATAATTTTACTAAGTTCAAATATTGTTGTATAGAGTGGCGTGAAGGTGCTTGCAGTAATGGGTGGTAGTACAGGTCTGGGATACAGGCCGATCACTTATATATCATATATGAGGTTCCCCTTACGGCCTTACCCCTTGACTATGGATACTGTATCTCGGCTCACGGATGTGATTTATGTGGTCATCGTTCCAGCCCACGCATTTATGATTTCCCAATATAATTCTGCGTATTACTAAAATATTTATCTATGGTCTATTTCATTAAAATAATCATTCTACTCTTTTAATATCATTGTGTTCAGGGCTTCTGTAAAATATTATATCCGCCTATTCTTGAACCCTTCATCTTGAGCTATTCAGTGAGCCTGTCTCCTTAGGTTTGAAGGAGGAAACCCCAACCAATTTCCGTTCTTTATGTCCGACTATGCCGGTCTACCGTATAATATAATAACTATGCACCTGTGGAATTGGTTTTATTGTTACGTAGTAACTTGCTTACTACACTAATTAAATAATTACATATAGGTAGGTACTAATTAAAATTACTGCAAGTATTAAAACTTAATAGGTAGATATTCAAAACTTAGAACCAATATATTTTCATATATTTACTGTTAGTTATTAATGTATTACCATGACTACCGTTACATAATTTAATAATCAAAATGCATAATTATTCATCAATAAAATCACTTTAAACACAAGTTATTACTACTTTCCGTATACGTGTTTTAGTGTCTTAGGTACCTACGTTCGAATTTAGGTACCTACTACATACCATCATGTGTTGCTTCGATGGTCATAGCGGCAGTGTTCAACATAAATCATAATATAGTGTACGAGAATAATGCTTATAACCCCACCTCGCATCCTGGCGCAATTGCAGTGACAAACCCGGTTTTCTTACGAAAAAGGTCCGGCCGAATCTCTACCGAATTCGTATGCGAATTCGTTCAGTATAGCATTCGCATGCATTCGTTCGCGTTCGCGGCCTAAAGGTGCTTACACACGAGCGCATACTGACATACTGTGCGGCGAACAAGCCGAGCATGCGTGTGTTCGCTCGTAAGGACGAAGTGTGCGGCCCATAGGCGTAGGGTGGTTAAATTTTTGGGGGGGGGCTTTAGCCCTTCCTGGGGCAACCAGTGTACATCTGCAGATATACATCATAAAATACAAACAATGTGTGACAGTCTTAGGTTTTTTAAAATATTCCATTTTTTTTTTTACTTGCTGGGCCCGAGTCAATATCACCTAAATCTAAAATTACATTAATACCACACTGTACATCTTGCGTGGGTACATGTACAGACTTCACAGGTTCATTATTTTGGTGTACAACATTCACAACTATAGGTTTAGGATCATCTACAGATTCATCATGTTCAACATCAACAATTATGTTTGTAGTACTTATTGATGTCAAAGAAATGTTGACAGACTTTTTAGGTTTACTGAAAATACTAAATAATTTATTTTTTTTCATTTTGGTGAATAGATTGAATAATAATCGTATTATTCAGAAATTCGTAATAGCATAGAATAAACATAACAATAGTTATTAGTAGGTATTCGGTACATTTCGTTTCTACCACGTGCACGTAGCGCTTATCTTATATTCTTATAATCTTAACAGTCATCACTACTGAATTTTACAATATAATAATAATAACATAATAAAATAATGAATATTAAATGAGTGATGACGTATAGACGTATTTCAATAAAATAAGCATAATTTAACCTTAACGACATAATATCGACAGATTAAAACAATGCATTATTGTAAATCACGATTAAAGATATACTGGTTGCGCAACGAAGCGTGATAACAAGACCCCCGAATCCCGATGTGTCTTCAACTATAATCGTGTTGTATATGATTTTAATATTTTAATAACATAAAAATTATTGATTTGAATATTTTTAAAATTTAGATGGCCCAAAGTTTTTTTGGGGGGGCTATTATTCGAACTAGGGGGACTAAGCCCCCTCAAGCCCCCCCCCCCCCTAACTACGCCTATGGTGCGGCCTATTCGGCCTATTCGGCCTATTCGTAAACGTTCGGCGAATAAGCCGCGCAAGCACACATGGCAATCGTTGTCGGTATTTTGGTCATGCTCAAAGGAACACCGCGAGCATTCGTGTGGACGGTTAATTTTGTTTTCTGCTGTGCGTCAAAATATTTCCCATTTTTATTTATTTTGGATTTAAAGTATGGCATGATATGCATAGGCGCAATTAGGTTAGAACTAGGAGGAGCTTTGCCCCCTCAAATAGTATAATGAAATTATACAAATCAAGAGCCATTTATTCGTTCTATATAAATAGGAACCATATTTATTATTATTTAGGAAGTACAGGGGCAAGGCCCCAGCTGGTCTGTAAAAGATCCAGCCAGCCAAAAAGAGCTGGCATATGGTTAATATAATTGATGTGAATATTTTTTCAGTAAAATCTCATTTCCTTCAAAATATATATAAATTGTTTTAATTTCAGGTATGCGGATTATTTTTACAATTTTATATATACCATTACTATTTTACGGGTTCTTGTCTACGCTTATATTATACTCAAAAAGAGGTAGCTAAATAAAATATAGGCAATTACTGAAGATGGTGATGTTGTTAGTATGATAAATCTATATTTTGCTCGAACTTAGTGTTGAATAATGAATATCACAAAAAACAATTTTTATTTCTAACTGTGTAAAACCATACTAACTTGTATTGCGTATAGTGTATGTATTAAATAATCGTGTGATATACAGAAACCTGTATTAAAATATGTAAACGCACCTTATCGCAGCGCCTCACGCACAATGCACATAATATTATATTATTTATATTATAATATTGTTTAAATACTTCCACTACCTCAACAGTGTCGGTCTGGCCAATTCGGCTAGGAGGCGATCGCCTCCGAGGCCCGTCCCATATTTTTCAAGAAATAAATGAAATTACTTACGAAAAATTACCTACTCTATGTAGCCTAGTGATATGCATTTTTATCTATTAAATATTTTTATAATAATAATATAATATACATTTTATTATTTTAATGATAATACAATTATAATATCTTAGTCCGTGCCAATAAAAAAATTATGTTTTAATTTTGGAGTCTATGATTATGTTAAAATACATACTGTGATGTTTGATCGATATTATATTGCTATATATATATGTATTTATATGTATATCGATCCCTATTATGTGATATTTATCTATCAAACGTTTCTAAATTATGTTTTTGAGATTTGGTATTTTTGAGAGACCCTTTGAATAATTTGCCTCCTGGGCCCTATAGATCCCAGGCCGACTCTGTACCTCAATTATCATTTATCGAACACTATACCTATATGATCTACTGTAAAATCTAAAAACAAACTAATAAATATAATAAGATTTCGAAGAATTTACATTGATATTATACATGTAAATTTAATACACTTGGGTTAATTGTTAATATAGGTACTATACATAAATAAAATATATAGACTTATATTACCTACCTATATAATAAAACATTATAGCTTAATTTAGTCTCAGCTCGTGTTTGTGACATTGCCGCTTGTAGTAGTTGCGTTAATATATAATATTAAATAAATAATAATAATATTATGATATTTTGTGATACCGACGTAACTGTGACGCGGCCGTACCTATATTGCAACGAGTTTTTTGTTATTGCCCTCGAAAATCGAAATATTATACCGAACGAGTCGAACGACCGTACGACTACGGCACGTTCCATTGGTCCCCGGTGGGGGGGAAGGAGGGGGTCGACGCTGTCTACCGGGTGCCGCCGACTACAACGACGACACGCGCCCGCGGCGCACCGCGTACGCCCGTATCCGCAGTAGCACCTCGTATAGTTGTAGTAGTTGCCGCCGACTTCAACGACCGCCGCCATAGATATTAAAGAATGGATAGGCCATGGCTATATTAATACAATAGAGGGAAGTGTCACCGGAATGGGGAAGAGAGAAAGACTGTTTTTTATCATTGCTTCTCATTTTAGCAGAGGGTCTTATCATAAATTATGTACAATAATTATATATATATACATTTGTGTTAAGACCTCTATAACCTCAAAATATTGTCATGTTCATTCCCGTATGTTAAGCATAAATGGCCTATCCATTCTTTAATATCTATGACCGCCGCACCGGCTGGTATCGGAGAACGGCGCTCGGTCGCTCGGGACAACGGGCAACGTTCCGCGGGCGGCAACTCCACTATGACGACGCCAAGTTCCCTCCGGTCCGCGCGACCCGACCGATGCTGAATGCTGATAATCCGCGCAACGCTCATTTGAGTACCTACACGAACGTCTAGCATCGCGCATTATTCGCGTGCACCAGACAGTGGCGTAGTTATCGTCGGGCAAAGCAGGGCAGTGCCCTGGGGCCTCCTAGAGCTCAGGGGCCCTCAGAGCTCTTGGTAAATTTTAAAAATACATCCGTCAAATAATTGAAATAAAATTGAAAAATAGGTTGGATATTTTTAATAATATGATAATTGAATATTAGAAATTTAATATGAATATCGTATACCTATAAAAATACAAGCAATATGCAATGATCGGTGTTCGACTACGGAGTAATCGTTATCTTATCACACAGCGGCCACCAAGGTTTGTAAATATACAATTACCTACATTACTCCGTTGTCAATTGTATTGTATTAATTTTGTATTGTATATAAATTTCACATAATTACAAAATTAAATTACACAATTTGTATTGTTTATTAACCACCCAGCTCCCTAAATGTACAGTTATGGCTATGTTAGTCGCGCTATGATTGACTAGTGATAAATTGGCCCGTAGTGAAAATAATTCGTATTATACAAATTGATGGAGAAGAAAATATTAGAATTCCCAGAATAGTAGCTCGTCAACAAAATCGTGTGAATATTGTTACTAATTGTCCAAAAACATATTTTCGTATAGCTATTGCAATACCATTTTTTGATGATTTTATAAGACAATTAAAAGAACGCTTCACTAACCATAAAAAACTAATATCTTCGCTGTGCTTTTTACTTCCCAATAAATGTACTAATTCTGAATTAGAAGCAAGTGATTTCAAATTACACTCAGAGTTTTTAGATTTGGATGCACTTTCGAACGAGTTAAAACTTTGGAAAAGAAAATGGTGTGATAAACCAATATTAGAACGATCTCCTGAAATACTTGAAGCATATTCAAATTGTAACAAAAATTTTTTCCCAAATATTTCATTTTTATTAAAAGTTTTGGCAACTTTACCAGTAACTACGGCGACACCGGAAAGAACTTTTTCGACGCTGAAAAGAATAAAAAATTACCTAAGGAATGCAACTGGAAAAAACCGATTGACTGGGCATTACCCAGTGTACATAGGAATATCGTTGTAGATCCAGAAGAAGTAATCAATCGTTTTTCAAATGAAAAACAAAGGAATATAGAGTTTGTCATATAAAATATAAACCATTTTTCAAACTAAATGTATAGAATTAAGTTTAATAATCTAATTAATATTAAGTCTAAACATTTTTTAATGTGAATTTCATTAATAAATACTATTTATAATTCTACAATATTATGAATTTTTAACCATATTTAATACCTACACAATATTATAATACAATTAGAACACACATTTTTGGTTTAACCCCCCCCCCCCCCCCCCCCGAAATTAATTTCCAGTTACGGCCTTGTTCGTATATACTCCACTGGGATGTTCTGATGGTATTTTTTTTGGTGAGGCAACCTATTTATCAAGGTGGTATCACACTCGTACACAAATTTAAACGAAGTGACGATTCAAACAAGACAGAAATGAGAAATATAAATTGAAGACTTGAAATCAATAAAGGGCTAAGTGCCAAAAAAAAAAAAAAAATTGAGTTAGACTCGAAAAACGGAGCCATGTGCCATCGAAAACAATCTATAAAGAGGGCCATGTGCCACGACCATAATATTGGTGAACAAATAGCAAACAAATGTCGTGAGAGCTATGTTCCGGGTGGCGGGTGTGGTTATAACGGACTAAAAATTGAATAACTCAGAAACAACTTTTTGGCACTTAGAACGTTATTGATTTCAAGTCTTCATTGATATTACAACGGTTTAATTAGGGCTGTCCCGACTCCCGGCTGCAACAATAACAATTGATAAAGTGTTTTTACGTTGAAACGGCGGGCTGACCAAAATACCAGTATACCGCATCTATTTTTAGTACTAATTGGCGATGATAATCGTGCCACGCATGCTCACGCAAGTCTACTTGTTTGACAGTGTGTGTATACATTCGGTTACATTTTCGGCAGTAACAATACTTCCGCAACGGTCGTGGCAGTGGCAGTATTATTATTATTATTATAACTATAATATTAGCATCGAGACGTGGCGGAGGAAATATTATTATTTATTGTAATTTCTGCTGAGTAATATTTTCGTCGTCGCCGTCGCTCAGTGGTCCGAGATCCAGTTTTAGG